TTTCGACAAGGTTTCAGACGAGATAAAGCCACACAAAAAACAAGAAATTCCGCAGCAATCGCTCAGAGTTATAACCTTCTTTTATCGTAAACCGTTTTTATTACAGTTTTTGCAATCGCCTGGAACGTGTTCTATTGGAGATCAAAGTAATTTTACAAATCTGGTAATCCAGGGGTAATACTTCTATTTTGACGAGCTGTCAATTTGCAAATCAACCGAACCGCGAAATATCAAGGGGCGTTTTCCAGAACCGTGGGGTTTGCGGGCAAGCGTTTCCTCTTCTCCCCTCCCCCTCCCCCTTCCACCTTTTTTTTTTGCTCTCGCTCTAACTTTCGCGCAGTAACTCGATTGGAAACACTTGCTACGCAGGCTAAATCACAGCAACTGTTCTCTTTTTAAGGAGAACTGTGATTAAGTTTCACTTTTTTCTCTGTTTGTTTTCTAACTTTTTACAAACCAAAGCTAACATGGGTAGTATTGATGGCCCACTTGGCAAACTCTAGGAAGGGGGGTATAGGGTATTGCTCAATTGCTTAGACCCCTAAATTATTCAAGATGACGTCAACAAAAATTCAAGATGGCGCCTCATCGTCGGGTCGTCTTCGGGTACTCTTCGGGTCATGCTCGGGTCATATTCGTCGGAAATCGGAAGTTATATATCTGGATGAAGGGTTCAGCTCACACTTGAAGGATAGTGTCCCCCTGCGCAGTACGCTTGCGCAGAAGTAAAACTTGTGCAAAAACATTTTTTAAGCTTTATGATGTTTTTATTGTTTTTATTGTACTGCCCTTCTATAAAGTCAATTACAGTCTTAAACTAAATGCCTTGCAAAGTTCCTAGACTTCTTTACACTGTTCTGTAGGTAAATGTAAACTGCGTTTAAAAGTCTCTTGTAATTCCAGTAAAGCATCTGGGTAGTCATACAAATTCCTGACACCCTCAATAGCCGTTCGGGCTACCAGAGTCGGTAAAGCGTACTGTTTTTTGTCATTTGATTGCTTTACAAACGCAGAAAAAATAAAAAGATCTTTTACGTGCCCTTAATCTCACGGCACTTACTTTGAGGGAGTTTGAATAGCTATTAAAGCGGGCGGTAGTTTGAATAGCTATAGGAACATTAAAGCGCACGTGCTTGCTGACTTAGCGAATTTGCATGCGCTTTGTCTTTTCAAGTTAAAGAAAATTAGCATACGAAACCATTGACTGGAACGGGTGGCTTATAAAAACCCACACGTTTTCACTTTGAGTATTCTCAACATGTCTCTAGTACTACATTCTTCTCGAGGCAAAGCTTTTCAGCGAGTGATCCAACAGAAAGACTCCAAACTACACGCTTGTGCTGGTCCTACTGTTTGGACAATGTTAGTCACCGTCCCCTTCTTTTCAATACTATATGACGAGAGAGATTCAGGCAGAGTATCTCTTCATAGTCGCGGAGGTGTAGTAGATCTTCACAGAAATATGGCAATGAGGTACGAAGTGCAAGATCTTGGTGCGGATAGCTTCATTCATCGATTTTCTGACTACAAAGCAACGAGTGATGAAGACTTTGCGAAAAGACACGAGCAAGGCAGACCTGTCTTTCTACTGATTGATGATTCCTATACAAAAACTACCGAGTACAAAGCAAGGGCAGAAGCTGCGTTTGCTGAATACCACGCAGAAAAGGAACGGTCAAGAGAAATGTTCCGACAGATGCTACAGAAGAAAGCTTGAAGAAACAAACAAGCAATCACAAACGGCTCTTTTAGGAGCCACCACCTGAATAAAAGTTATGACCAATACTCAGTCTTGGTAGTATAGTGGTTAAGTATCCCTGTGTAAGGAGAGATTTTCCATGAATTCTTTATTTGCCTCGAATATCATATGTAGCTTTCAAATATTCGCTTTGACGTTGTTCTTAGTCACTCATACTGAATTTGCATAAAGAGGTTTTAGCCCCGCAAAAAGTCTCGTGCCATTTTACTTTCCTTTGTTTCATTTGTTTGTGTTCACTAAGTAATAATCATAGAAAAGCCAAAAGTATTCGTTAACAAACAAAAGAAATTGCTCGTTCTCATTTCAATTATATACATTTTACGTCAATGTTGCCTCTTGAAAGAATACTTAATTTCTTAATAACGGTTTATGTGACTTTAGTCTATTTTTCATGATTTTACTACCAGACGACATTTATTCATAGAAACGCCTTTCGTGTAGGTGCATCTCGTTTTAATTGCAACTTAGTTATATTTATTTGCGAAAGTATATTTCATTAAATTGTTAGTTAAGGAGAGGTGATAACCGAATTTGAATATGAAAGGTTTTGCTGTCTTGTAATTTTAAAATTAGATTGGTTTTTGTTTAAGGTGAAAACTTTCAAGTAGTCTGCGCTTTTCCTGTTTAAACAGCTGATAGCTGAACTTGCAATTTAATTCATATTGTAACACTTTGTACATAAGCGCTGTTTTGCTGACCTGGCTAGGTCTTTGTGTCAGTACTTTTACTTTCTAAAATAGCAACAGTAACAAAAGATTTCAGGTTAAAACAGGGGCGGATCTAGGGGGAGGGTGCAGGGGGTGCGCCCCCCCCCCCCTTCCTGAGATGACCTGCGGTTTTCTAATACAACTGGTATTCTGCACCAAAAAACAAAAAAACTATTTGGTTTATTGGTGTTGAAGTAGAGCAAGAGACGAGTGCACCCCCTCCTAAAAAAAATCCTAGATCCGCCCCTGTAAAAATAGAAGTTGCATTTAGTTTTCATTTAACTCTAAGTGATTTCTGTTTATATTTCTATTGTATTCTTTTGTCTTCAATGGTTATAAAAATCATATATAAGTAAGTTAGTTTTTACTGATTTTTCGATTACATCGTCGATTACATTGCCGACTACATCGCCGATTATTTCGCCGTGTCCTACCCGAGTTATTGCTGTTGATCCGCTGAAGAATAAACGCTGTTGGAACCAAGTTTTGTTCTGTTTTATCTACTGCTGTACCAGTTAGTGGTCTGATCCCGGACCTCGAGAGAAGTGACGGCTCTTCTCCGCAAGCGCGTTGCTATTTGAGTCTAGTTTTCCCCAGTTTTATCGTGAGTCAAGCACCGAGTTCCCGTTGAGCCTTAAATTCGTTTCAAAGTGGAAAAACCTTCCGTCAGACCTGCCTGTCACGCAGGAGACGCGAGTTCGATTCTCGCCCAAGACAGCTCGTTCATTTTTATGTTTATTGCTCGGGACGGGTTCGATTGTGTAGTGGTTGAAAAGATCTTTTTATTTTTTCTGCGTTCGACTCTGGTAGCCCGAACGGCTATTGCGGGTGTCAGGAATTTGTATGACTACCCAGATGCTTCACTGGAATTACAAGGGACTTTTAAACGCAGTTTACATTTACCTACAGAACAGTGTAAAGAAGTCTAGGAACTTTGCAAGGCGTTTAGTTTAAGAATGTAATTGACTTTATAGATTCCGATTTATAGATTCCGATTTCCCTTACTTATAATAACGAATATGACCCGAGCATGACCCGAAGATCACCCGAAGACGACCCGACGTTGAGGCGCCACCTTGAATTTTTGATGACGTCATCTTGAATAATTTAGGGGTCTAAGCAATTGAGCAATACCCTATACCCCCCTTCCCTAGAGTGTGCCAAGTGGGCCATCAATACTACTAACATGGTTGTATCATTTTACATTTTTAGCTGATCTCCAGTCTTAATGCCATTGCTTCATCACAACGCAAAGGTAACTATTTACGTTCCTGGGAAACTGCCCAGCTAGTCCTCCCCTAAGCCAACATTTGGCCCAAAGTGAGAAATTAGTGTTGATGTTGGCTTAGGGGAAGGGTAGGTGGGCAGTTTCCCAGAAATAGTAGAATTGATTATTGTAATGGACTTCTCTATGGATTACCGGACTGTGAAATAGCTAAGTTGCAAAGAGTACAGAACGCTGCAGCTAGGCTGCTTAGGTCTTACGCCCGTTTTGATAAATTTACACTGGTTACCAGTAAGATATAGAATTAATTTTAGAATTTTATTACTTACCTTCAAAGCCCTCTATGGCATGGCACCTAGCTACATCATTGGTTCAATTCATACTAAGACTAATACGCGCTATTTTCTACGCTCTTATGAAGGTGTTTTATTAAAGCATCCGGCAGGAAAAATGAAACAGTCATTTGGTGACAGATCCTTCAGTGTGGCTGCGCCCACTTTATGGAACGCTCTTCCTGTTAGCCTCCGCAGCATAAAATGTATTTCTACTTTTAAATCTAATCTAAAACTTATCTTTTTAAATTAGCTTTTAATATCTCTTAGATATTAAATATATTTGTATATTTCTTATATTTGTATTAATAGTTTTTAGGTTAGCATGTTAAAAAGCGCACTATAAATGAATAAATTATTATTATTATTATTGATCAATTTTTACATCTTTAGACAGGTAACCCATGCACATATAACGCTTTTATTTTAACCTCGACTGTTTCAGAGCATTTTACAAAAAAAGCTAATATCTAACAGCAAACAAACAGCTGCTGTTGGAACGTGCAATGAAATTTTGCACATTAGAGCAAATTGTTTGTTATTGGTTACATTTCCTACTTTCGCTTGCGCGTTATTCTTGATGACTCGCCTTTCAACAAGACGTTTAGGCTAACCCTAAGAACACCAAGATTTCATCAGTTTCTTGAAGCTTGTTGATTCTTATTAGTTCATTTTGTCACCAAGCCCAATCGTTGGTTGAGTAGAAACAATAACTTGTTGCGTGCTTTAGTAAGGACTCGAGCGAAAAACAAAGTGGAGTAAAAACTTGAAAGAAAAACAGAGTTGTGTGTTTTTGGATGTGGGATTTTTTTACGAGTTTTACGACTTTGAAAACTGGAGACTGACTAAGAAATGAAAAGACAGCAGGCACAAGACATATCAATAAAAACAACAAATGAAAGAAGCGAGAAAATTGACGTGGAACAATAACGTAAAGAAATGATCATTTTTCTTTTTCAGAAATCCACCTTTGTGTCATGCTACCAATGACAGGACGTTGGCCAATCGGAATGAGAATAGCTGCAGCTGTTCCCATGGCAATATTTGACATCACAAATGACTCAACTCTGCTACCGGGATATAATATTACGTACAACATCGTAGACAGCTCGTGTGAACCCGAGAAAGGTCTTCGCGGGATGGTCGCGTTTAAAACAGCTGATTTGTTTATTGGGCCCGCGTGCTCTGTAGTGGCGGAACCAACGGCACTACTAGCAAAAATATGGAACAAGCCTATTGTAACTTATGCTGCATCCTCAAATAAATTCATCAATAAATATATTTACAGCACGCTAAGTACAATCACTGCTTATGCTCGAAGAAGTGAGAAATATACTCCAAAGCTTGTGCTTCAGATCCTTAAAGAGTTCGACTGGAATATTCTGGCCATCGTAAGTTCATCTGAAGTGGAATGGAAAACAATGGCTGAAAAAATTAGAGCCACCATTGAGCCTAGTGCAAAAGTTTCTATGTTTGAAAATTACGATAATAAATATCCACAGTTTGAGAGAATCTTGCAGAAGGGAAAAGAAGTGTCACGGGGTGAGTGCCCGCGCAGCTTGCGTGCAGATGTCTCCTATTTCCTTTGCGGCACGAGTAAAACAAAAGAAATAGGAGACGTCTGATTTGCACCCAGGCAGGAGCCAATAACCCGGAGTGTGCAACTCCCATACTTTGCCTATGCATCGGCGTTATCGAAGATCAAGTTATTTTTAGCATCATTTTTTAGCACTTTTTCCCGCGAAAATTAAAGCACCGTGCTGTATACGTGCGCATCCACAGTACGATTATTAGGTAAATGCTATCAAAACACTAGAAATTCTTTAGTCTAGTTCCCGATTTTTGATGACTCATTTGTAAGACTTGTTCGATATTTAAAATTCGCTGGAAAATCGATCTAAAAACAAACTGGTCTGTGAAGATGCCGTTGCATGGGCAGGCAATGGGCACAAGGAAGTTGCTCGCATCGCCTTGGTTATGGGCTCTAGTGCCAACGTAATATTCATCTAACGCTGCTAAAGCTACCACTAAGAAATTGCAATTATAAAGATACATATTATTTGAAAGGGCTTGTTTGTCTCATGGTAAAGATAAAATAGACAACAGTTACCACGAAGTATATTACGATTAAAATTGAAGGCAAGTCTGATCGGACAGCTAAGGTTTACAAACTTATTTGCCCAACATTTCGACTAGACAAAACTAGTCTTCATAAGGGGCTCGAAAGGCTAAGTATTGCAATCATCTGATAACTTATATTTAGGGGCAGGGATAAAGCCAGTGTTCCCGCATCATGTCTAGCCTGTTACAGGCGTTCCGGCCGATTGGTGTACCCTCAAACGTAGGCGTTATTTTGGCTCGTCATGCAATACTAAGAACGTCTGCGTGAGAGGCTAAAGATAAAGAAAACAGTCCAATGAAAAGTGAGTACTAACCGAGGAAAATGTGACAGCGAGAGGACACTCCATTTCGCGCTACTTCACGATCTGAACGCCCTGAACAGGCTACATCATTGTCCCCGTGAGTGCCTATTACCGATTGGATGGATTGAACGTCTGGGTAATTCTGCCTCCTAGCTAGTCACTGACGCACCAATTCCAACTCGTCAGATTTCATGGAATATGTTGTAGGGAGAAAATGTTTTCCCCTCGAAGGTTCTTCCATAGCAGCGGTAATGTTACACGAGGGAACGTGTTTCTGCAACACGTCCCGTCTCACAACCCTTGCACATATAAATTCTCTGTGTCGTTAAAGAACCCACGAACTGTTCGTAAAGAGTAGGGGACATAGTCCGCGGTGTGGTGATCTATCTCTCATGTGGGAAGGGACTGTTACGGGCCCGCGTAGTGGCGCCACGCACTATTGCGGTGACCCTGACAAGAGCTGGCAAACCTAAGTAAATAAATAAACAAATGCCCTTGCTTCACGCTACTGCAACATTTCCTACTGAGTTTAGATGGGTAGATTTCAATACAATAGTTATTACGAAATAAAATAGAAACAGCTTTATTAAGAGTTATATTCCAGTTAATACGAAGACAGAATGATGAGACAAAAGGACCCGCTGCAGTAAAAATCCTAGCTTTTTATTCAAAGCATTTCTCGCTTGCAATGGCGGGCTTTATTTTTTTTGCTTTTGAATTTGTCCCCGTGAGTGCCTATTACCGATTGGATGGATTGAACGTCTGGGTAATTCTGCCTCCTAGCTAGTCACTGACGCACCAATTCCAACTCGTCAGATTTCATGGAATATGTGGCAGGGAGAAAATGTTTTCCCCTCGAAGGTTCTTCCATAGCAGCGGTAATGTAACACGAGGGAACGTGTTCCTGCAACACGTCCCGTCTCACAACCCTTGCACATATAAATTCTCTGTGTCGTTAAAGAACCCACGCACTGTTCGTAAGGAGTAGGGGACATAGTCCGCGGTGTGGTGATCTATCTCTCGTGTGGGAAGGGACTGTTACGGGCCCGCGTAGTGGCGCCACGCACTATTGCGGTGACCCTGACAAGAGCTGGCGAACCTAAGTAAATAAATAAACAAATGCCCTTGCTTCACGCTACTGCAACATTTCCTCCTGAGTTTAGATGGGTAGATTTCAATACAATAATTTTTACGAAATAAAATAGAAACAGCTTTATTAAGAGTTATATTCCAGTTAATACGAAGACAGAATGATGAGACAAAAGGACCCGCTGTAGTAAAAATCCTAGCTTTTTATTCAAAGCATTTCTCGCTCGCGATGGCGGGCCTTATTTTTTTTGCTTTTGAATATTTACGGGACCTTCTTCATTTCTTTTCCAGTTTTTCTTATCCTCTGTTACATAAATGAAGTTCTTGACATCATGAAAACAGCTGAACGGTTGGGTATGACTAAAGGAGATTATGCTTTTATAACACTTGATTTGAATACCGACATGTTTTATAAAGACGGTCAATGGTCTGGAAACGAAGGGAAAGGCTCTAATTTCCCAACTGAGCTCAACGGCATAATAGACCTTAGCGTTTACCGTCCTGAGATTTATGAAGAGTTTAAAATGAGGTACAACACGATGAAAAACACTCTCGATCCTTTCATCATATCAAAATTATATCCCAAGGTAAGAACCAGATAGTTTTAGCTTTGTAATTTTACTTTGCATGTTAGTTGCGCCTGCTATCAGATTGTATATGTACTAGCTGACTGGTTGACCTATTAACTAATTGACTGATTTACTAACTGACTAACTAAATGAATGAATGAATGAACGAACTAACGAACGAACGAACGAACGAACGAACGAAAGAACGAAAGAACGAAGGAAGGAAGGAAGGAAGGAAGGAAGGAAGGAAGGAAGGAAGGAAGGAAGGAAGGAATGAATGAATGAATGAATGAATGAATGAATGAATGAATGAATGAATGACTAACTGACTGACTGACTGACTGACTTACCGACTGGCTAGCTGGCTGATTGACTGCGTGACTGACTGTCTGATTGATCAATTGACTCGAAAGCAACTGATTCGCTGGCTGACGTTTTGACTGGCCGACTAACTTTTGACTGATTGGCAACTGACTAACAGACTGATCATTAACTGACTCATGCCTGACTAAGTGGCGGACTGACCGTTGGACTGACTGACTGCCCGGGTCAGGGGTGACTGACTGGCTAACTAATTGGCTGATTGATTGACTGACGAACTGATTTACTTACTGACTGACTGATTGAGTGACTCTCTGGCGAACTGATAGACTGTCTGATAAACTGATAACTATTGACTCGATTATCTCATAGAAAGCATTCATTTAATAATTTCTTGTATTGAAGATCACTTTTTCCGACAGGTTTCTTGGTATTCCTCGTTTCTGTATGATGCCGTCTACCTGTATTCTCTGGCTGTAAATGACACTTTAACCGACGGATGTGACGTCACGAATACAACTGAGATTATTACACGCATGTTTAATAGACATTTCTACGGTAAGTAAGCTGCAGCTAAAACAACTCTTCCTAATGTATAGATTTTTGAATGTGTCCTAGATGTATAGCATTGAAAATAGACTCGCTTGAAACACGGTGTTTTTGTTCATGAATGTATGTATATCTGACTTAACTTCAATGTAACTCCAATCTAAACTACGGTAATACCTACGAATGGCACAATGATAATGGGCTCAAATTTGGCGTTTATACTACCTTTTTGACGCCCGAGTTCGATTCCCAGCTGAGTCGTCAGTCACTCTTAAAATAACTGAGGAGAACAACTTCCCTGTCACTTTTAAACTTGTTTGGCGCTTTTGACTTAAAATATCGCTCAAAAACTTTAACCTTTAACAACGTCACTCCCGCCACTTCGATGAAAACTCGTGGTAGTGCGACTTGGCAGAACGAGTTGAGCACAAATAATTGGAATTGAGGTCATGCACGGAGTCAAAAACGTAAGCACTGGGGTCGAGAATGCTCCTTGTCGAAGTCGCAATCGCTGTCAATACTAACATTCTCTAGTCCATTGAGTACTGTTATGAGTTATCGACGACGTAAAATTAAGACCTTTGAATTTTAATTTACCTAATTCTTCCTTTATTTCATTTCTTTATATTTGTCTCAGGAAAGTCAGGTCATGTATTTATGGAAAATGGCACCCGAGTTCCTCAGTTTGTCGTTGGTAACCTTCAAGATGGCTCGTACCAGTTCATCGGAAACAAAACCAAAATATTTCGTAACAGTACGGGACCGATTTACCACCAGCTTCACCTCTTTGCCAAGTCAAAAATCACGTGGCCTGGCGGGTCAAGTAATGCACCCCTCAGTGAGCCTTTGTGTGGTTTTACAGGAGAGAATTGTAGTGAGGATAGCACAGGTGAATAGAGTATTTTAAGGTTATTACACTCCATATTAATTGTTTTTTGCTATTCAGAGAAATTATTATACAAGGCCCCTTTCTAGCCATTTTTCCTCTTGTTTCGACTGTTCAAATCTCGTTTCTTTTAAAGTCCCTTTTCTCCTTGTCCAGTAGTGGGGGTACAAGAAGAAAGAGGACTCAGCTGAGAACCAGAATCAGAGGTGTTATAGGAAGAATCAAGAGTCCCATTATGACTCTTGAAGGCATACTTAATCCCAGAGTCTCTTAAGCTTAACCGCGCTCAAAGGGAAATAAAACACTCGCAATAGGCCATGCATATGCGCGGTAAATAACCGAATGATGACAACAAGAGCTCATCACTCCCACAAGCATCCGGGATTCTATGGCATGGAAGTCACACCCTGGATTTTATCTTAAGACAAACGAAAAATAAATTATAAGTCTCAAGTTTTGTTTCTGGTATTTTCAGATACTCTCGTTCTCATTCTTGGCATAGTTGGAGCTTGTCTTCTAGTTCTCATCATTTTTGTTCTCCTGATCTGCGTAAGAAGACGCGNACCGAATGATGACAACAAGAGCTCATCACTCCCACAAGCATCCGGGATTCTATGGCATGGAAGTCACACCCTGGATTTTATCTTAAGACAAACGAAAAATAAATTATAAGTCTCAAGTTTTGTTTCTGGTATTTTCAGATACTCTCGTTCTCATTCTTGGCATAGTTGGAGCTTGTCTTCTAGTTCTCATCATTTTTGTTCTCCTGATCTGCGTAAGAAGACGCGCCAAAGGGAAAGAGAGTATTCATACAAAATGGATGATAAACTACAACGAGATTGCACCGGCAGATGACACTGAAGACCATCCCATGGTTCTTAACAACCTGCATCACGTGAGCTCATCAGAGGGCCTGGTAGAGCCAGCATACTTGTGGTTTTTTTTTATTCATTTATTTATTTATTTTTATTTCGCTTTTGTTTGTTTGTTTGTTTGGGTCTTTTCTGTCTGGATTTTTGTAATGCTTATCTTTCTGGTATACAGCTATTTGAATTAATGTTGTCGTAAGCCTGCACGACAAAAGCCGGTTTTTAAATAGAATGTTTCGATTAACAAAACAGTCGGAAAATAAAGTGGTCCTTCGCCACTGTACGTCAAAGAAACTGTTTAATAAAAAGATTCGTTTCTTTGGTGAATCCAAAAAGGGTATTGCGCTTCTTTCTAAAATCAAAAATAAATTTTAAACCTAAAGAATGTACACTCCGAGTGGATTTATCAGATTAACCCAAATCAGGAATTTTAAATTCTTTGAGAACAGAGATCCGAAGAAAAAACACCGACAAACAGTTTTCCTCCAAAACGCGATGAGGCTACCACGTTCTCTTTCTTTCGCTAACATTGCGAAAGGCAAGCTATCAAAGAATCCATTCAATGGAACAGCCAATCTATTTATTTCCATGTCCACTCTGAGTGAATTTCCCGTGCTCAGCTATAGTTTCACTGGTGGCGTCGCGAAATGACGGCTGTTTTCTCAGGCTTGATACGCGGGTTCCCCCGGTCATTGACCCGACGGCTATGCCATGCTTATGAGCCCTAATAAGGGCGAAAAAGCAGTCCATGGCTGCCACTGCCTGGGTGATCTGGCTGTGTGCATGCGTGAGGTATTGGCCAGGCCATGGGATGGTGAATGTGTGCCCCTTGCTTTACGTTTGTAAAATAGAAGCTACGGTTAGTTTTATTTCAACGTATTATCAATATCTTTTTTAGCGTAGTACCCAAGGCTCCGAGTTCAATGTTCTGCCATCTGCGTCTTCTGCAAGGCTTATGAGTGATGGTGGATTTCTTCAGAGAAGACTTTCTAAGGGAATTTATCGAGTAAGTGCAATGGCAAAATCCTTACTATGCCTGCTAACCTTTATCATGGAGGCAAGCAGATAAGACAATATGGTGCACCTCCAGCTTCACTGGCTAAGGTTTATACAACCATTGTTCGTCCTGTTCTAGAATATGCTGCCCTTGTCTGGCAAAATATACCAGATTTTCTATCTTATAAGATTGAGAGCATTCAGAAAAGAGCTATGGGCATCATTTTTCCTTTAATGAATCACAACGAGGCATTAAATGCCCTTAATTTAACAACTCTAAGTGACAGACGCGCCCATCTATGCCAGGTTTTTATTGATAGACTCCGGAATGAGAATCACCCCTTGCATTTTATGCTCCCCTAACAGGAGGAGGTTGTGCATAATTATAATCTTAGATCTGGCATTAGTCGCTCCACGCGTCCTACCTGTAGGACCAAGCGCACGCACGAGTTTGTCACGCATAAGTATACCTAGTGGCTTGTACGATTATATTTTGTAGTATTTATTGGATTTATTGTATTATATTTTAGTATTATATGTTTTGTAAATAGCTCTGTAATTCAGCCATTCTGTATATTGCTGCAATGAGTCTTAATAAACAGTCATTATTTAATTGGGGCTGTTCTATTTGGACATCACGCACAGTGACTGAAACTTAGGGCCTGTTTACATGTAGGTGGGGACCCCAGGTAGGTGAGGTAACCAGCTTAGGTGGGGTAACCAACCTGTCCATATAATCTCTCATTTTAATTTGATCACGTTTACATGACCGGTGGGGTGATCCGCCAAGGCGGGTAGCCGGTCTGCCAGACCGGCTAACCCTCTCAGCCGGGGTCAAATTTTGCCATGTAAAAGTTTCAAGGTGGGGTAACCCACATAGTCGGGGTCGGATTCGTGATACATCAAATTCAAGAAAAGTTCACTTTGGCAGTGGCTTTGCATCATTATTATTGCCAGAGCAGCAAGTGAGTGTAGAAGAGCATTCAATACCAAAACATGTGGTTTGCCAGCATTTTTCTTGTTTACGAGCTTAGCGACCATTCAATAATCTTGAGAAAGTGCACCCCAGGATGGCGGGGTTGTAAGATTGTATGTAAAGGAGAGCTATTTTTTTTTTACCCCACCTAAGCGGGTACCTCACCTACCTGGTGTTTCCCACCTCCATGTAAACAGGCCCTTAGAAATGCCGGTTTTAAAATCACATAAACTAAAAACAAAAGTTCTTACGGCAGAAATGAACTCCGAGGCCAAAGTTTGTAATAGGATTGTATGTAGTAGGACAACATTACTGTAAAGTGTGATTACTTTTCTATTTCTCCCATTTATCAGGGAAAATCTGTTTTAGTGAAGAAAGTTTCTGAAGGAATATCGCACCTGACAGAAAATATGAAGATTGAAATACGCCAGGTGATGCTACTAAGTATTTTCCTAAATACTGATGAGAAGCAGGAACTAGTAAGTGCCACCTCCCCCTCCCCCCTGTGGAAGCAGATTGTATCTTTGTACCGATTCTCTTTTTTTTATCTGTCTATCAGCCGAGCTCTCTCTTGTCTCATTCGTGTCACAGCTCATGTGATCTCTCGCGTGTAGAGGGTTCTTGCTTCCCTCCTCGTGTTGACTCTTTTTGCACAAGGCCATTCTCAACATCCGCTCGCGTACTTCCATTGCTCTAGCTAGCTGTATATAACGTCCTCGCAATCCATGAAACAAGCATATATTTTGTAGGAAGTTACCGAGGAATAATGAAGCGAATTTCAAGAATTTTTCTTAAAGAATTTTTCTTCAAATGATCCTAAGCTTTTTTGTTCGAGTTGTTGCATACGATAGACTGATTTTATTTTTGTTCTTTCTGCTACAGGCATGTGAAATTCGGCACGTGAACCTTAACCCATATGTAGGAATATGTGCTGAGTTTCCCGATGTCTTGATCGTTTCTGAGTACTGTGCTAAAGGAAGCCTTCAGGTGATGACTTTTTTCTTAGGTACCTCTTCATAATCAAATGAGCCGTGCCTTTATTTTCTCCCGTAATGCACTTTTGGTGTTAAAAAAACCCGAACAAAAACTCTCTCTTGTGCTTGATCCATGGGGTGAAATTAAACTGATTCCATTCATAATTTTTGATCCACTGTAAACTAAAGTTATCCAGTCTTTGTAGTTTTTAGGAATTTGTTCTTCACTCCTCTACGCATTTTTATTGCAGGATATTTTATTAAATGAAACTATTAAGCTGGACTGGACTTTCAGGATGTCATTTGCTTCAGATATCGCTCGAGTAAGTCTGCCCATGCCCAGTTGACGATATCTTGGCTAGGTGTGACTTGGCATAAAGGACGGGGGAGCTTTTCTTTGAACCGTTACCATCCCATACAGCCATTGTTAATCAAGATAAGAAAGTACGGAAAATGCAACTGTAAAAAAAGCTGAGATTATATACAAGATAGTGGGGTTATAAAATTCGACACTTAAACTGTAAAGTACATCTATGCGTATATGTATAACTTAATTAGAATCAGACTGATGGATTGATTTTTAGATTTAAAAAGCTGGAGCTGGAAAGTGCCAAACCTCCCAAATTTCATTCTATAAACGGTTTCGAGCAAATTCCACCAGATAAAGTTCTATCACAAGCATTGGGTAATTAATCATTAGAATTTAATTAATAGATTCAAATTGCAAATCTCATGTAAACTGCATAACAGATGATCAAACGATTTTTTTTTCTTAGGAAAATGGTAGCATTAGCCTTTCCCTTTCTGAAGCATCTTTTTGCACATGCATTTTTTGGTTCGTCGTTCGTTCTTTTCCTTAATTTTTGTTATTATTTCATTTATCTTTATTGTTCTTGTAAGGCAAACTATAAATATCTTGCTTTCAAGTTATATTTAGCGCAGCATCAGCATTTATTTTTTAAACTCTTACTTTCTAAATGTTCTCTTTTTTTTCCGTCTTTTTTCACTTCTTTTTTTGTTGTTGTTTCTAATTGTTTGATTGTGATTTTCGTTTTTGAAGGGGATGGAAGAACTACATAAAACTTCAATAGGTTGCCATGGTAATTTGAAGTCCACCAATGTGCTGGTTGACAGTTATTGGATCTGTAAGGTGGCCGATCACGGACTCCACAGTTTTAGAGAAAATAAGCTAATAACAGAGGAGAGATTACAATGTCAATCCGGTACATTGATTTGTTTTTTAACTAGTCTGAAATGACAGCCGTCTCCACCCCTTAACCCGTGGGGTCGCGAGAGAGAGAGACGTCTGAATTTCCGAGAGTTAGACTGTCGCCCGGTGACGTCACACTAATTTATGTATTTGGCATGAATTTCGATTTTTCTCCCCCGCGCCCCCTCTCCCCTCCTCCCACAAGTTAGGGGGTGGACACGGCTTACATTTCCAACTATTTTTTAACCAACAATAGCCGTATGTGAAAAAATAAGTTGTACACGAGCATTCATGATAAAAGGCACTGTCCAGATGAGATGACTATCCAGGAAGTCACTCACAGGCTTCGGATGTTAGCAGGTTTTCTTAAAGTACTTTTCTAAAACTTTGAAGAGATAATGTATTCTAGATTTTTAGAGGTATCAGTACTCCAAAAAATTCAGCAGTAGCTTTTCTAACGCTGAATTCGCCGTAAATAGTTCTTGGCTAAGGTATAAGCACATTTTCTTTGTGACCAAGTTTAACGTCAGTAATACTTAAAATTTACCTTGATCATCAGTCACTACTCTAAATCACCCTTCCCCTGCTTCTCCTAATCGCTAATTCTACTTTAACAGCTTTGTTTTGGACTGCGCCTGAGCATTTACGAAGTACCGCTGACATTGGAAAGTCGCAGCTAGGAGACGTTTACAGTTATGGGATCATGCTACAAGAGATCGCACTAAGAGAAAAGCCTTTCTCTACCTCACTCCTTTGTACAAAAGGTAAAAGGCTCTATATATGGATTAATTTAGCAAGTTAAAGTTCTCCATGCAACACAAAAATAACGTTTTTACAGCGTTAAGACGATCTGGCTTGGAGATTCGATAAGAGATGAGGAGTAATTATTTCTACCCGAGACGCCCTACTTTATCGATGGTCGAGTATTCTTCAGGATATTTACATTTATATCGTATTCGACGATTTGTTTCTGAATTGATTGAGTACGCATGTATAAATAGACGAAAATCAAGGGCCTCGATTCGGGAGAAATTACATCATTGCCAAAATGCAAAAACGTGATGAACATGGCGCGTCATTTCAGTCATCGTCAAAAATAAACCGAATGCTTATCACAAGACTCAATTTGCATGCAATGAAAATTTACAACACCGGACCAGTTAGCCTCACCTTCGGAGTTTTTGTCATTAACTGAATTCTCCTTTTTTCGACAACCGAAATATTCATTTGTTACAAAGCAATCAACGATTTCAAGCGATATATAGAATTCGTGGACGAACCCGTTCCGGAAAAGCTCGACATCTTTCGCATCAATATTTACTCAGCTTTCCTCGCAAAACATGCATGGCGCTCTAATATGTTGTCGGTCACCTGTTTCCACGGTCTCCGCAAGGAAGACCTGGGACTATACGGATTACCCTTTTGGCGCACACACGCGAAAAAAAGAAAGAAAAGAAATGCTTGAATGTTTTAGAGTCTCGCTGCTCGTAAAGCAAGCACGACTAACCAGCCGTTCCATCACAACCGTTTGCTTGAAGGTGTTAGGGAGAGACATGGGGTATTTTTCCTTTAAGACATCACTGCGTGTTGTCGTAGATCTGGAATAGGCTCAACAGTGAAAAATTAGAGAGAGAAAACTTTGTCTTTATTATTGCAGTAATTCAAAACCACTTGCGCGAGCTCATCAAAATTCATTCTTACAGATCTAGATCATAATACATCAAACGCATTTTGAAGAGGTACTTTGCTAATATGGTTTGAGACTAAGGAGACCTCTGAAAACAAAGAAAGTAGAATTTAGAAATGTCAGAAAAGTTAGGATATAAACTAAATGTTGTCTTAGTTTGTGTGTTTAACTCTTTCCTTTTTAATACTTTATCATTTCATTTTGTCAGAAATTCTTTATTACGTGCGCAAAAGCATCCAACCGCATTGTAGGCCCCAGGTTCCCCCGGACAGCGCTACGCGACCATATATCGATCTCATGAAGATTTGCTGGGATGAAAGCCCTGAGAGAAGACCTACATTCAGCGGGATTCTTAAGATTCTGAAAAAGATCAACAACGGAAAGTAAGGAAAGCGCTAATAAAGCCCTTTAAGGTTTTAAGGTTTAAGGGCCGTTAATGCCAGGGGGGACTTCTATATGAAAGGGGCGGGGAGGCTGGTCGGAAATTTTGAATTATACCCTAAAGGAGACAATCTGGGCGTGGCCCAAGCTTTTTTGACCCCTAAAAAACTTTGATTACATGAATCGAGTAAATGAAATGAATTGAAAATATATAATTTATGTTGCTTCTGTGTACAAACCTAAAAGAGACCTTTGCGGCTAAATATAATGGCGTTTTGCCCAGAACACCCTAAGTCATGAGACCAAAATCAGAAATTTGCAACCCTAAGCGAGACGACGAGCATCCCCGCCCGTTTTATATGGGAGCCCCCGGCCGTTAATGTACTGTCGCGGATTAGAGTGCAACACTTGAGTGTACCACTGTCCTATTTACATAAAATATGAAGAGATCACCATTTATCTTTTCTTTTTTTGTATACTTTTATCGGAGAGCTTAGAACTGACACTAATGTCTCTTTTCAGATCACCGAAAAAAAAAACACTTTAGAGATCACTGACATCGTGCAATAAAGTGCAAAGTGTCAAGGGGTCCCTCCCTTACATAAGAATTCTTTATCTTAATTTTTAAGCAGTACACACCTCTGTGTAATTTCTTTCACTAATACTGAACAACATTTCGAACTTGAACTCAGTTTCATTTCTTTCATTAGAAGAAACATCCTCATTTTATAAATTAAATTTCAGGACAATCTCAGTTATAGACAACATGCTGTCGATGATGGAAAAATACACCAACAATCTGGAGTCCCTCGTAAATGAACGAACAAAGCAACTGCAATGCGAGAAAACCAAAACAGACGAACTTCTTCACAAGATGCTACCAAGGTAAACAGACCATTGTAAGCCAGGTGGAATCCCAAGGGGTCCCCCTCTTGGGTACTCATGCCTCTCTTCTCTCTCTTTGTCCAATTAAACTTGCCCCTTTGATGATTGACCTAAACTGAGAGGTAAACCACCAATGCAATCAAAATTCAGGATTCGCCTTTACGATACAAGAGTCTACTAGTTTCAGTGATATTATCAAGCGGATATGAAGAAAGGTCGTCAACCTTGTTCTTAGGGGTTATTCCCTTAGACAAACCATGGGAACGAGGTTGTAAGTTCATTCGGAACATTTGGCAATTTTGAGATTTAGCGTAAGACCGGTTGTAAGACATAAACACCACACTGATAGGGCCTCAACAAAGTGGGGCTTTAGCCTTTGATTAACCACTGTTTTGCCATTTTTGTGGCTTGTCATGATCAGAATGGCATAACAACAAGTTCTGCTAAAAAAACACAGTCCCGGTACAGTATGTTTAAAGTCCTACCACTGAACACACACCTGCCGAATCATGTCATGTCGGGTTCTTCCTATGAAGTATGTTTACCTCTGCTGTTTCAATCTGACTCAGGAGTATCGCCGAGCAACTCAAAGCGGGACTTGAAGTGAAGGCAGAACAATATGATAACGTTACAATATTTTACAGTGACATCGACGAATTCTCCAACATAACGTCGGTCAGCTCTCCAATTCAGGTTAGAAAAATTTCAATCGACAATGATTTTCTAAGTGAATTTAAGTATGATAACTCTCAACCGTCCATAATCCATACAGCTTGGCAATATCTTTTATAATGGTTGACATACGGTGAGGCTGACTGAGTTCTCGACTGATTCGGCCTGGATAACTGTCTGACAGACTCAATACCTAACTTTATCACAGATATAAACAGACTCACTGACCGGCTGACCAACTGGCTTGATGACTGGCTTGCTGACCGGCTGACAGACTGTTTTACCAACTGGTTGACTGACTTATTGGCTGACTGATCGATGGACGGACTGACTTGACTGACAGACTAACTGACTGACTTACTGTTTGACTGTTGTTTTGACACCTACAAATGGTTAGACATTCTAGTCTTGTCGGATAAGGACGAAAAACCGTATGCCCATCTCACAGTTCTTTCATTGTTCTGATTCTTGTGGGACGTAAAAGAACTCACATTGCTGTTCTTAAATAGTAGGAGGCGTAGACCCCGGTGGCGTGGTACAACCTTTCATGGGCTGGGTGGGTAATGAAGGGGTTGATATCAATTGGGACGTTAGTGCTGTTTCATCTCCTGTCACCGTGTTGAGTCACCGTGGAGAATTCAATAAAGTAACTATCAGAGTAAAGTTGATGAAGTTTGATAAAGCCGGCACTATAAAATCTGCGCCTCCAACCCTTCTCAAGGACCCATTGAGTGATTGACTCGCTGACCTAAAAACTGATGGACTGGATGATTCAAAGAAAATAGAGATTTAGAGCCACGTTAACGGCGTGAAACTACTAAAAGGGAAAAGTAGTTCAAGTGGTGCGCATGTAAACGTGGCTCTAATTCCCTTTGTAAATGATTGTTATATTCCGGTATAAGAGTTTGCTTTTTACCTCTGGTGGTCCCCCAATTCCCTTTATTTTGGTAAATTCTTAGTCGTATAAATGGTTCACCGGCTCGCTGATTAGATATTTGCTACGTGTTAACTAAGTGATTTCATTGGTTTATCAGTAGGACGTATTGTTTTAAAACTTTACAGGTTATAACGCTGCTTAACGATCTCCACTCATTATATGACACTGTGATGACGAGATATGATGTTTACAAGGTAAAATCAACGTCTTGATTCATTTTGTTGGAAAGGTTTACATTTTCCTTGTTCAAAACAAAAACAACATCATAGCTTATTTTTTATACGCACGTCTATTTAGGTGAAATCAGAAACTCATTTGAGTTTCTGTTGAAATCAAATAAAAAATAAATTAGGAATTAGAACCAGCTCTCACATTTGCCCTTTAATTAGCCTATAATGTGCTGCCGAGTAGATTATTCCCGGACGGTGGAGCTGCTTAACTTCCACCGGTTTAACAAATGCGTTATGACATGGTTCCATTATGCTTTCAACCTACATACTGCGCATATGTTGTGCGCATCACGGAACCGCCAGATGGAACCCGGGAGGGAATGAAAATATGAAGGGGGTTGGGGAGGGAGGGAAGATCTCTCTTTTCCCTTTCCCCCCCCCCCCCCCCCCCCCAACTCCCGACCTCTTTCCCTCCTCTTTTTTTCTCCTGCCACTCGGGCTAGCCCGCGAAAATCCTTACGCAAAAGTAGTTTCTACGTCTTTTGAATTTTTTTCCGAGGGAGGAGGCGGTTGTACACAGGCTAGTTTTGACTATATTTCAAAAAATGTGTTGCAGGCATAATTACGCTTCAACTTTTCACGCCTTTCAGCGTTGTCTTTTCTCAAGAGAAGCCAAGTAGAATTAACTTAAGAAAAAGAGGAAGTTCAGTACTCTAACCACCCCCAATTTTTTCAGTGGCTCTTGCTATAACTGAGAGAAACTGTAGTAGTCTGATGCATATTCGGCATAAATATCTCAATAAAGTACTTTTTAAAGTAACTTAATTTTGACCTAATTCCATGCAGTTTCCTGCTGATTATCTTTTCCAATCATAATTTCCAGTTTCCTACCTTCGAGAGAGTCAGAGGGAGTTCTTAACCGTATTTATTTTTTTCTGTGAATTTTATAGGTTGAAACAAGCAGCGATTCGTGTTTGGTTGTGTCTGGTCTTCCAGAGAGGAATGGAAATAAACACGCTGGACACATAGCTAGGATGTCTTTGCGTTTGGTAACATATCTTAAGGAATTTAAAATTAGCCATCTACCAGGAAGAACTCTACAGTTTAGAATTGGTATCCATTCAGGTGAGAATGTATCATCAAAAACCATAGAGCTTGTACCACACTAGTCTCCGAGATCAAGGGTGGAGACCGAATTTCTAAGACGAGTACGACTACGAGTATGAGACAATAGGGAGCTAAAGCAACAACTACAGCGACGGTTACGAAAACGTCACTTAAATAGTGAATTCGCGCTGCCTCAAACTTTATCGCGTTTATTTTGGAGTTGAGTTCTGAAGGACTGTCAAGTTGAGGAAAAGAAAAACAAAGCTGTTGTGTTGTGTTCCCGTCCTCGACAAAACGTGAAATTAGGCACTTTCACGTCGTAGTCGTGCATTGCAGTGACGGCAAGGAAATGTACAAAAAAGCGTGGTGCAGGTGCAAAGTTGTTGTTTTGCTAATCTAATCTTTTGCCTTTTTACCGTTTTCGTTGCCGTCGCCGTCGTCGTTATGTAGTGCGTGCCCGTGAGCCAGCGTCATTTTGGCGGGAAAAAGTGACAGCCGTTCGGCCTAGAACCTAGGCATTCTTTCTTGACCCGTTGTCCGCGCGAAGAACGCTTAGGGACTAGGCTGATAGTCGTTGTCATTCTACCACGGTTTTCAGAGAGAATTTAAGTTGTCAAATAAATTATCAAATGTTAGAAGTTTTATCATTTTGCCAGCGGGAGAGTGCTAAGACCTCCTTTAATAAAGATAACTTTTTTGGTGAAAAAAAAAAGTACAAAGAAGATTTTCGGGTTTCAATTATTTGGGAATACGTGAGAAAACTTAAAACAATGATCAAATCTCGTACTTGTAGTCTTTCTCGTTCTCGAATCCAAAGGTCTGTGCTAATGTGCAGAGATCGTGAAAACTATCGAAAATCGCACCGGATGGGGACTGAAAACCCACTTTTTACCCCTTGACCTTGTTTTCGCGACGTTCATGCTATAGCCTGGCGAAGGCTAAATATGCTATTTCATTCTCATTCAAGGGACAGGCGTTTTCTCACTAATTCTCGTTGTGTTTTCTTGCTACGGTACCCTGATGAGCGCTAGCTCCAAAAAAGAGCGAAACATCGCTGCTTTTATCTGCTGTCTTGCTTTTATATAGCCTAAATTATGACTCAGTTTTTACGTATGAAAAAGACCCTAATTTACTGACTATTGAATACGGCCAGAAGCTTATATTTCTGATCGGGCTTAATTTTAAAAAAAACCCGCTTAAATCTTTTATAGAACTGAAAAAGTTATTCAAAACACTTAACGTTATCAGCTGGAACTTTAATGAATTGGAATAAAAGTTATTAGGGAGCTTAATGATGCAAGTCAATCGGAAATAGAGAGTTCTCCCTTTTAATATGCCTTGACGCCACCAAATTTGCATTGCTGTCTTCCTTTACTCTTTTAGAGACGATTTGCTTGAAAATGTGGGTAAAACCACTGCCATAGAACGCAAAAAGTACACTTCCGTTGTAGATCGTCGCTCAAAAACGTCTCTGCTTAGGCTCCAAATTTAGCAATCCACGAAGGCGCGGATGACGAAGCTTATTTTATTCCCAGGTCCCTGTGTGGCGGGTGTGGTAGGTTTGAAAAAGCCTCGTTATGAGATATTTGGAGAAATAGTGAACATTGCCAAACAGTTAGAGGAATCCTGTGCTGGTAGGTTATAATCTCATACCCAGATCTCGCTCTGTTTCACGGTAAAAAGGAGAACTTAGGCCCGTCCACACGAATCCGTTTTCATTTGTAAACGCAACTTTTTCTTTACGGATACGGCTTACGTCCACTTGTATCCGATGAAAACGATCAATTAAAACGGAGCTTTTCGAAAACGCTCTCCAGAGTTAAACTTTTGAGAACGCTTTTTTCGCGTGTACGCGTGGACAGACGAAAACGGAACTTTTCGAAAAGGTTGAGGACACACTATCAGTTCCAATCCACTCCGCGAAATAATAGTAACTTATTCAAGATGGCGGACGAGCGCTTCCCCATCATGTCGTTTATGCTTGAGCTTATTTTTAACCTAGTTGCTGGTTTCAAGCAAATTTAGCTTTGTTAATTCTTCAAGCTGATTATTCCAGGAGGCGCCAGAGCACTATCAGGTTACTTTCGCTACCGGTGGAAGGCGGAAGGCGGAAGGTTGGATCTCCCTTTAATTTGACATTTTAAACTGTTTCTGTGACTTTGAACAACGTCACAACAATATACACCCACTCCAAAGAAATTCAAAGGTGACGCCAATTTATTATTTTGAGGGCTCATAATAGCGACCACGTATGCGTCAAGCATGCGCAGTTGGGTAAGTTATCGTTTTCAAATCGATTCCTCGTTTAGGTAAGGATGGGCGAAAACGATGCGAAAACGTTACGAGTGGACGCGAATTTTTTGAAAACAGAGAAAAAAAGTATACGGAAATGTGTGGACAGGGCCTTTGTGAGATCTCCTTTTCCTTTGTCGAAGGAGCTCTAGGAACGAGATTAGGTACATTAACTATTAGTCTCACTGCATACACAATTAGCCCGTGACAAGGGAAATAAGAAACTCCTTTAACTTGTGAGCAAAAATAGTGAGCAGCATCACTAACAGGTATATGAAACTAGAATGTGGCCTGAACAGAGTTCTAAGTAGAAATTATTCGCTAAGTTCCCTTCCTCTTATCATGGAAAGAACAATACTGCCTCAGGTATATTTCCTAATTCGTACCACCACAGCTTATATTCTAGTGTTTTAATAGATGTCTTTAAGTATTGACTGTAGGATGTATCGTTTCTTTAGCTCAGCGAATTCATGTTAGTTCTTCTTGTAAGTTGATTCTGGATGACTTGGGCAGCTTTCATTTAGAGGAGAGAGGCCTGGTAAAGATTAAGGTGAGACGAGAGTTGCCTGTTACATATTTTCTTACGTGCACAGTATAAAGCAAAAGAAATTGGCCTCATACGGCTGGTAGTAACGTGGTACAAAACAGCCATCTGGAAAGCACGAGACCCACCCACCTGGACGCGACCGAAAAGAGTTTTACCATTTAAGATAGTACTTTCTTTTGTTTATCTTGTCCCAGTATATTTCTTGCTCTCCAGCTTGGCAATTTTCAGTAACACGTGACTACGCAGCAATTATATGTATTTCATATGTACTCCAGTATAATCCACATGCAGTGTTAACAAACATTAGGCCTAGATTACTGACGCCAAAGCAATAATTCTCTAAAAAAAATCAGCAGCACGTGCTCGGAGATACAGCTCATTAATTATGTGTATCAGGAAACGAAACTGTTATTACCCCGAAATAACAAAACGATAAAATCTTGTTATTTGCTTAGCAGAGCATTACCGCCTATCATTTTCTTAAAGACAACATGCGCGCACATTACACGCGGAGCTGTGTTGGTGTGTCCAAACAGCAGGAAATGTCTGCAGTCACTCGAAATGGAGCGGCCGGCCCGATTTTCATATTTCCTCTTCGAGCCATTGCAGACTAGGAACAACGAAAGATCCTCTCGGTCAATTGGCTTAAAGAACCAGTTCCCGAGGAAAACATTTCAGTTCCTGGCTCATTATTGAGAAGTAAAATATTTTCTAGTTTGGTCTTTCTTTTAGTGAAACCTCTCGTTTTCAAAGGACATCCCCATTCAGGGGACACAAAATTTGTTCCCGGAAAAATGTTCACACAATCTTTGTATTTGTTACCTCTACTGAGGGAACAATTCTATTCAGGGGACATCTTAGCACTCAAAAAGTGACTGACTACAAAAAATTTTTGATAAGTTTAAGTGTTCACTAGTCACAATGGCCACAGCTTTCAAAACATAACTATCTCACTTAGGGCCTATTTACATGGAGTGGGGGACCCCGGTCTAGTGGGGTTGGTTTCTTTTGTTTTCACGCTCTGGGGGACACAAAACAAAAGAAACTTACCCCACTAGACCGGGNCTAAAAAAAATCAGCAGCACGTGCTCGGAGATACAGCTCATTAATTATGTGTATCAGGAAACGAAACTGTTATTACCCCGAAATAACAAAACGATAAAATCTTGTTATTTGCTTAGCAGAGCATTACCGCCTATCATTTTCTTAAAGACAACATGCGCGCACATTACACGCGGAGCTGTGTTGGTGTGTCCAAACAGCAGGAAATGTCTGCAGTCACTCGAAATGGAGCGGCCGGCCCGATTTTCATATTTCCTCTTCGAGCCATTGCAGACTAGGAACAACGAAAGATCCTCTCGGTCAATTGGCTTAAAGAACCAGTTCCCGAGGAAAACATTTCAGTTCCTGGCTCATTATTGAGAAGTAAAATATTTTCTAGTTTGGTCTTTCTTTTAGTGAAACCTCTCGTTTTCAAAGGACATCCCCATTCAGGGGACACAAAATTTGTTCCCGGAAAAATGTTCACACAATCTTTGTATTTGTTACCTCTACTGAGGGAACAATTCTATTCAGGGGACATCTTAGCACTCAAAAAGTGACTGACTACAAAAAATTTTTGATAAGTTTAAGTGTTCACTAGTCACAATGGCCACAGCTTTCAAAACATAACTATCTCACTTAGGGCCTATTTACATGGAGTGGGGGACCCCGGTCTAGTGGGGTTGGTTTCTTTTGTTTTCACGCTCTGGGGGACACAAAACAAAAGAAACTTACCCCACTAGACCGGGGTACCCCACTCCATGTAAACAGGCTCTTAAAATCGATGTACTAAACTTGTGGGAATTCAACACATAACATCGCGGATGAGTTAATCATGAGTTTTTATACATTATCTAACTGCTTGAAATAATGACCGCAGCAAATTCCGAGGTAAAATATAAGAGAAATAATTTATTTGTTGGTTAATTATTAACAAACCCCAGCCCAACCTCAATTCAGGGACACTTTCCTTGGTCCCAAGGGTATCCCCTGAATAAAAGGTTCCTCCGTAATTGTAATTCTATACGCACTGGAGAATGCACTAAAAACTGAATTGAAGTCAGTTTTGTATTGTGGGCTTAGTAACCTTAACCGTGATGTAAACAATGATGTTTTACAAGTCATTTTCATAAGAATTAAGTTTTGGAGACAGCCTCTCGGAAACCTCCTTTGTTAAACCACAATAAGAAGACCACCACCCAGATTTGCTTTGTCTAGTTCAGTTGTAAACAGGAGATAAGTTTCATCTGACATATAGCCATAACGGACACTCATGATCAGCCCTGTTAGATATTTCAGTTTTACTACTTTATAATCAGTTGTTAAGCCATTCCAAGGTTACAGCTCTGAGTTTCCTTTTCGATGAGAATCGGCCCAGACTATTAGCGAACACACCTGGTCACACCAGAGGAAAGTTCTGCGCGACAATATAGCTTTACCCGCGACGTAAAAACCTCTCGCAAAGCTTAATGACTGCTGCGGTTAAGGCAACTATTACCACAACAATAAACAAATATTACAATTTAATCAACAACTGAAACAGTTGAAAGAGAAAGAAAAAAATACCCAAATAATGAAAGAGTAAAAACAGTAAAATACATGCAGGGTTAGCCACAGAGTTGCTACAAGTCGACCTCTCATAAGCTCTCAGCAAGCGAGCGAAGCGATCTTCAACGATGTTGCTCAGCGAATGAGCGAGCGACGAAGTCGTAGGTTGACTTGTTTCGCCTGAATGGAAAAAAAATTTGAAGGAGTTTTAGAAAGTCTACGTTGGCCACTGCCAGGTCATTGGTGCAGACATATAATAAGAAACAAACTGGAAATAAACGGAACAAAATAAACTCATAGAAAATATTTTTGGCCGGTCGAAAGCATTCCCAGCTAGCGGGACCTCTTTTGCCCACCGAATACCAGGGAAAAGAGCTGGCCTCTGCTGCTAGCAGGGAATCAAGAGCAGAAGCTAGCAGGGAACTGTCTTCGAATGCTTCTGGAACTGGTTCAGTGTGTAAGCGGTGCCCAGGAAGCCTCCCCCAATTCTTCGTAAACGTTAAATCAAAAACACTTGAAAAGGCAAAATCACAGCAACAATGACCAGAGATGTCAGCCGGATGTTGAGTGACCTGGATCAGTAAAATCTCCAATGCCAAAGACAAAACAATCAACTGATCCTTAAGACAAGGAGAGCGGCGAGAGAAAAAAATGTAAGGAAAGAAAACAAAAATCAACGGCAAATTTCCGTTTGCAACACAAACCTTCGATGAATTGGGGCTAAAAAAGAAAAATATGACAAGATAAACGTTACATATGCGAGATTTAAGTACTGGTAGCCAACAGAACTGAAATAACTGGATTTATCCTATACATACTGAGATTTTCGCGCCAAAAATCAATGAAATAAATTTCATCCCTGTGCGTGATTGCTGGCTTCTGATTAGTCGGACGGTTTTTGTCACTAGTGAAAAATATCGTCCGACCAATC